CATTAGCAGCAACATGCACAAATTTGCTGAATTTTGTTAGAAATTTTTTTTTATTCATAAGGGTTATTTTTTACACTCAATGTGTTCATATTAATTCAAAGTGTTCACATGTTAACCCTTAAAAGTCTCCAGCTTTATCAGGCATCAGGACCCCAGAGTGTAAAATGTGCAATATCCAACTACAACCATTCAATTGCTCAACTCTCAGCTTGGAAGAATTTCCATTCGCCTGAAACGCCTGCCTCTTAATAATTGCTATCAGGCAAATTTTGGTGACAAACTCTGTCGAGGGGACGTTTACCTTCCAAAATTAATCACCGTAAAAAAAAACAGAAAGCTCCCGCGGAGTCACAGCTCATCGTGTACACGGCACAGGCCCATGCGTCCATTCACTGCTGGATGAAGGGACTCCTGCACAATTTGCGGGTCATTGGCAGGGGGTTATATTTGACCACGCTTCACCACGTTTGGTCAACGTGGGTCAACGAAGGATTTGGAGGAGAGAGGCTAAAGAGCAGACACATTCACAACAACAACAACGCACTTCACCCACTACGCAGCCCCGTAGCCTGCACAGTCGGCGGCACTTGTCGTCAGTTTAACACGTAGGCTTTCGCGACCAATGTTATCCATAATCAACGTTTTTGGGTTTAGATCGCGTTATTTATAAATGTGTCGTAACCCTCCACCACCCGACACGGCCAATCAGTAAAAAAGTGTCACGTTGACAAAAGACAAATAGTTCACTGCTTTAGCCCACCGGTGTGTTGAAGCCACAACATTTACAATTTGAGTACGACGTTTCGCTGGTAATTGCATCCAGCATCATCGGGCAATTCGCCAGAATGGTGAGGCTCTGCTGTGTCTCCCGTTCTTATATAGAGCAGCAGCAGGGTGACGTCATCAGGTGCAAAGATTCAAGGGGGGAGTGATTGTAATTATATACTAGATTAGTAATCAGGCTATTGTTACGATGCGAGTTGTAGATTGTCGTGCGTGGCGCCCCCCCCACTCAAGGACCATCCCATCCCGGCCATGCTCAGCTTCTGGGGTATGACGATAATGGCTTACACGACGTCGCAGGCGATTTGATCGGATACAAACTCAGCATAGAGGGGGCTATAAAGCAAGATTTGTTATGCAATCCGTGTTTCATCATTGCACACATACGCATTAGAATCGGGAAGTTGTCACATCCCCTGAGGCCAAGGTTACAGCAAGAGCTTATCGACGCCATTATTACAACCCATAGACGCCTGCCGCATGTGCTATCGAGGCGACCTCCGTTTTCATCTGTGTTCTTTCTCACCAGCCGCGATATATCCACTGCGGGATGAAGCCCAACCACGAGCTGAACAGTGATCTTTCGCAGCTTTGAGCGATGCAAAAAAATGGGTCCAGCGCTTATACACACACACACACACGAGCCGGCTTCATTGCTCCATCTCCGCAGAGGATGTTCTGTCGGACGCATTCACTCCTCCAGTTGGCACTCCCCGTCATTAGTCTCTTGACCGCGCGTGGATGAAACTAAAATAAAATAAAATCCCTTCCGAGCAAAGAATCCCTGTCCAAAACCACTTTCTTTTCTCATCTGTTTGGTTCCTGCACTGAGCAGTGTGGTATAAAGTATGGTCAAACAACTCCCCCATAACTGACATGGCGTGGAGACGCGTGCAGCCGGCATTGGGTTTACAAAACACAACAATGGGTTCTTAAAAGTAGCGATCTACCCAGAGCCCTTTGCTCTAAATTGGGGCAATGCCCGCTTTCTTCTTATCCGATTACAAGGGTTGTAATTTTTAGAGCAAGTGGACATGCTGTTGCTAATGATGACACAAGAGACAAATGTGAAGCCCTACACAATCGCTTGCTCTCGCCCACTTCTTGTGGAGTGGCGTTCACTATAGGGAGCTACAAGGCCGTAATTACAATAGATATTGGGGGGGGACACATCCCCCCCAATAATCAAATATGCTCAAAATGTCCCCCCCCAAATATGTTGCTATAAAAAATATTTGTAAACATAATAATTGCGATGCTATGTAAATAAAAACAACAATTTGCTAAAACCTTGGCCACAATATCTGGACTTGTCTTCATATAACAATGCATAGATTTCTGTTAATATGATTTTTGGTTATAGTTGTACTTTATGATTCCCTAATCTCTGCCATTACATACAATGAAACAAGCAATGTAATACAATACACTATTAGACATTATTGTTAAAAATGAATTAAAAGTTCATCCCATGTGTTAGTGAATTTTGTAGTATTTTAGGCAGGAAATTAGTTTTCAAATTTAGATTTTTTTTTCGGGGGGGGGGGGACCCCCAGACCCCCTGGAAGATTTGGTCCCCCCAATGTTGACTCCATGGCTACGGCCTTGGGGAGCTACTTAGGAGCCCACCACCTGGATGCGAGAGGGGGCATTTTGGTCCACCCTTCAACACTCGGCAGATAAACTCAGAGGAGGTGTGGGCGAGCACCCCACCCGCGCTGCGTGTCGAGATCGAATCTAACCCCTGGATTGCAAATACTAATGCGTCGTAGCTACAGCACAAAGCCACCGGATGAAGCCGGCCAGTGGCCATAATCAGAGATCTATGAAGCTACGCAAACTTGAGCATGGATATAATGGTTCCCCTTGTCAGGGCAACCCATCGCAACGGTGCCACGTTTTGGCAGCAGAAGCCCTCTATAAGTCACGTTACTTGCTGTCCCGTTACTGAGAGGGCCTCCCGTGTCTCTGTACACCGCGCGCCTTCAACACTACGCGTGGACCGGTGCGGTGAAGTATGGTCAAAATATCACACCCCCCCCCCCACCCACGATCCTTAACGCAGTGGGGGAGATGGCCTCGTGATGTAGCGGTGGACAAAAGGAGGCAAGGGGAGAGGGGGCAGGCACATCTTGATGATTGTGAAAGGTGCTGCAGAGGAAATGCATGCGCGAGAGAGGAAGCGAAGAAGATTACGCAACATTTATTTTGTTTCTTATCGGCGATTCCCACCCAAAGGTGATGGGAAGGCCACCAGGGGACTTTTCCATCTTGAGAGGGGGATTTAAGGAATGCCTGAATGACTCAAATCGCGTCGTGACCGTCAACATTTTTGGGCCACGATTTATCCACGTGTTGGATGAAAGCCCAAGATTTCAGGGAGAATAACTTACATTTAAAATAAAAACCTAATGAACAATTGAACATGCGAAGGAACTGACCAACCAAAACTAAATGAACGGTTGAATAGGCGGATAAAGTAATAAATTAACATGTGAATTGGCCAACGGAATGGGAAATTATACTAACAAATCAACAAACGATCACATTGGTCTATTAAGCAAAGCATACGGAAATTAAGGAATTGACGAGTGTGTGAACAAGGCAACGAAGGAATGAGTGAACGAATGAACACGACAACGAATCGACTGAACTTACAAGGTCAACCGATGAATGAACAAATAAACAAGGCAATGAATGAGTTAATACAAATGTGACGAATCAATTAGTGAATTAACAATGCATCCATTGAATGAGTGAATGAAGAAAAAACAATCGACAACTGAACGACCGTAAATCAATGACAAGAACGGTTGAATGGTCAAAACAAGAATGAGTGAATGAAGAAAGCAATGAACGGATAAATGAACGAAAAACTCAATTTAGATTTAAAGCTTTCGTGACTGCAGGGATTCATATTCTTGGTTCTTTCGGTAAAGTCACGTAGAAGGGAAAATACAAATTTTAAAAAAAATATAAAACAATACAATTCTCACGACGTTTCGATTGCAACACAAGCCATCATCATCAGGTGTGAAACCCACAGCAATATTTTTTTTCACAGCAAGCGAAAAACAAGAAAATTTGCTTGCTGTGGGTGTCACACCTGATGATGATTGCTTGTGTTGCAATCGAAACGTCGTGAGAATTTTATCGTTTTCTTTTTATGTTTTATTTTTCATATTATATTTTATGTTTATTATTTCTCTTCTACGTGACTTTACCGAAATAACCAAGAATACGATTGTTTTTGTGTTTGAATGTTTCGTTACATTTGTTGTTCATCGTACGCTGAAACATGTTTTTGGCTTGCATCCCAGGTCCCTCTTCCAATAGACCTTTGTCTGAATAGGGCTCTTAAGATTATTTGAATAAGGATCTTAATTTTCGATTTAAACCTTTCCTGACTGCATGGATTCATATTCTTGGTTCTTTCTGTAACGTCACGTAGAAGGGGAAATAAAAAAATTATAAAAAATAAAACAATACAATTCTCACGACGTTTCGATTGCAACACAAGCCATCATCATCAGGTGTGAAACCCACAGCAATATTTTTTTTCACAGCAAGCGAAAAACAAGAAAATTTGCTTGCTGTGGGTGTCACACCTGATGATGATTGCTTGTGTTGCAATCGAAACGTCGTGAGAATTTTATCGTTTTCTTTTTATGTTTTATTTTTCATATTATATTTTATGTTTATTATTTCTCTTCTACGTGACTTTACCGAAATAACCAAGAATACGATTGTTTTTGTGTTTGAATGTTTCGTTACATTTGTTGTTCATCGTACGCTGAAACATGTTTTTGGCTTGCATCCCAGGTCCCTCTTCCAATAGACCTTTGTCTGAATAGGGCTCTTAAGATTATTTGAATAAGGATCTTAATTTTCGATTTAAACCTTTCCTGACTGCATGGATTCATATTCTTGGTTCTTTCTGTAACGTCACGTAGAAGGGGAAATAAAAAAATTATAAAAAATAAAACAATAAAATTCTCACGACGTTTCGATTACAACACAAGCCATCATCATCAGGTGACTTTACCGAAATAACCAAGCATACGAAAAACACCACTTCACAAATGACCATCTTATTATTCTAACAAGCTCTCGTGAAACGAATGAACAAAGACGACAGAATGACGGAGAACGAACGAACGAACCAACGAACGAAACACGACTCATTCACCTCCACAACTCCAGCTCGCCTGCATCCTTCACGCGCGGCACGTGGCCCGGAGTCGATTCACGGCCTCTTTGATCAAATTGCCGCTCATCAGCAGCTCGTAGAGGACATCGCGGGGTTCGGGCTCCGGCTCTTCGGGCCGCCCAGGGGACGCCGACCCCGGAGAGAGACCCCCGAGGGAGGCTCCCCCCCCCGGCGGCGGCACACCGAGGGCACCCCCGGCGAGGGAGGGTGGAGGAGGAGGCTCGCGGCGAGCCGGGTAAGGGGCGGCGCGGGCTCGCTGAGCCGCCGCCGCCCTTCGTGGCATCTTCAGCCGCAGTGACTCTGCCATGCGGGTCGCCAGCTCGTCCACGCTGCCGCCGCTGCTGCTGCTGCTGCTGCTGTCCTCATCGTCGCACGGCATTGCGCTTGTTGTTGTTGTTGCTGCTGCTGCTTGCGCGCCGAGACAAAGAGACGGCGCTCGGAGGGATGCAACGTCGGCCTCCTCCTCCTCCCACTCCGCCTACTCGGCGAGCACGTGGGACACTCACAACAACAACAACAATGCCCGCCTCGCCGTGACGTCACGCGGACAACCCCCTGACGTCACGTCGCGCTGCGGGGTGCGGCCAACGTAATGACGTCACGAGGGAATGTTGGACGGCGGCGGTGACGTCATCGCGCGGTTTAAATAGGGCGTGGTGACGTCACGCGGTCAGGATTTTTGGGGAACTATTTTTTCGTTTGTTTGTTGTTGTTGTTGTTTACAAATTGGTCAATAACACTGCCTCAAAAGGAGAAATATAATAAAGAGAGAATATGTAAAGGTATTTGTTTAGATTCTGAAATGATGTGCTGTAAAATACTGCAAAGGGCTATTGGCCAAAACCGTAATATGTTATACTGAGTGCTTCAAAAAAACGTTAACACTGACATGGGACTATCGTTTTTAATGGAAACATAATAAATAATACACTGCAACATGATAACAAATGTAAGTTAATAGCTTCAAAAAGCCAAAGAGTCTATAACTTATATTCTTGGTTCTTTCTGTAAAGTCACATAGAAGGGAAATAATATATTTTTTATTATTTTATTATTTCCCTTCTAGGTGACTTTACCGGGGAATTATGATTTGGCAAGAATATTTCTTCTACGCTGGTCTCCAAAAGTTATTTTTTTACATTTTAGTTAAATATTAGGTTTCATGTTTACACAGTAGCGATGGCATTCATCGTTTGCCACTCCCATAGGCGAGAACTCCCTTGAACTCGTAATCCGTGCTTTCAAATCCATACCCCTATTCAAGTCGAGACTCGTACCTGCCTTTGTATTCTCCGCATGCGTGTGAGATTGTCTACTCTACATGTGTTCACGTCCAGGTACAATGACTGACTGCATCTATAAAATCAATATGTCATTCTAGATTTGAAGTTTTCGTGACTGCAAGGATCCATATTCTTTCGGGTTTTCGGTAAAGTCACGTAGGTGAAAAAATTTAAAAATTAAAAATAATTTACTTTATTTTTTATTTCATTTTTTCACCTACGTGATTTTACCGAAAGAACCAAAGAATATAAAATAAATATGCCCAGTGCTTCTGTCCGCTATCTTGAGGTGTAGTTGCTAAATAAATCGACAGTATATTGTATTGACTGACGGAGGCCCCTATAGACTCACACACAGCAACTCGTACGACCGGCTCTGTATTGACTTTAAATAAATGTCTCTTTCTGCGCGTTCGCATTCTCGAGATGCATCGGTGGCGTCTTAAGACGCTACGTGACACCACGCTTCATTCGCTTTCGTGAAAGCAGCAAAACCACCCCCTTATTGTGAAAATTCCGTCACAGTTCCTATGCTCACTGTTTCATTGGTTTCGTGGCTTTATTTTGGTGATTTCGAAAAGTGTATTGGTTTAGCCATGTTTGTTTGTTGTAGTACAGAGCTAGACTGATGGCCTTAATCTAAGTTGTCTTGTGGTTGTTGTTGGTTGTTTGACTTGCATCCCACTGGGATTTTTGCACACAGCGTTGGTGTACGGTGTTTTTTTCTGCAATATTTTGCTTCCTTTTCTTGGATTTTCTGTTTGCACTCAGTCACATATTCACTTTAAGATGTTTTTTTGTTCATGTTTTAGTTTTTTTGTTTGTTGCGGTTGCACCCGATTCAAGAGCCGAATGGCTCACAGGGCTATACCTAATAAATGCACTTCAACTTGAACTCACCTGCAGCGGATCGACGCTCACCTGGATGAGGAGGAGAGAGGCGTGGTGCTGAACCCCGCCCGTTTAATTTTCCGTCTCCCGGTGACGTGGAGAGACGATAAAAAAAACCCACCCAGAGCCACAAGTCGCTGACGGCACGAAGCAGCAACAGAGGCGCTCGCGAGACATTGCGAAGAGATCAGAGGGCGAGGTGGGCAAGATCACCTGCAGCTTCGCAAGGTAGAGGGATCGTACACGCGCGCACACTGAGCAGGGCAGCATGATGTCACGCGCGTTCATTTTTTGTTTCGAGCTGATGTTTTGTAACGAGTGAAAGCACGATGCAAGAAGCATCTCGATGTGCCAGGACAAAGGGGTCTTTGAGATGATTACTCGGTAACGGAAGCGATTGCAGAGCAAGTATGATGTACAGTTTGGTCCAGATGTCTTGTGACCCACCCCCAATGAATTGACTCCCAACATTTTCTTCTCCTTTTATATTTATTTCTGCTTAAAATAAACCTTGCTTGAATACATTACGTTTTGGAGACATACATGGGGTCACAAGAGATTTGGACCACCCTATACACAGTATAACATACATGATACACAACGGAGAATGCACCAAATTAGAAAGATAACCTGTAACAGTCATTTGAGGTTATTCTTATATGTTTTCTGAAAATAATGTATTTCATTTTAGTTATTTTTTTTGGTGCATTCATATTTCTGGGTAAGGTGTGCCCCAACTTTCGTGGCAAATTCAGACCGTAGCTATACGGTCGAAAATTAAATGCCCTCCAAAATTGTGCAGTTGTTGCTGATGGATTTGCTTGTGTCTGTTGTGGCAAAACATTTGCCAATGCAGACGTCAGCAAATGTTTTGCCCCCCAAAAATAAGGGTGAATAATTTTTAAAATCGCATGGTCTCCACATGGCAAAACCAATCCTTGGTGCAGTGGTTATCTCCGTTCGCAGCACACTTCTCCAGGAACGCCTGCTCCTTTTATTGCCACAAAATTAAAATGAAAGCTGGAACAGCTCGAGTGGAATAGACCACAAAGTGGTTGCTGCCTCAATAGTTGTTTTTTTATCCTTCCGATGGCTTTCTGGTGGTTGTGCAAAAAAACAACGATTATCGGATTCCGCAGTGCCCATTGGATCGTCAGACATTCCTCGTGACCCACCCCAACTTGTTTCCTCCCTCGCATCCAACCTGGGCAACTGTGGTGTTGTTGTTAGTTTTACTGTCTTTAACTGTTTCTACACAGTGTCTTGAAGATGTGGCCGCGTTTAGACGCTCTGTATGTACCGCATGGAATGCATAATATAAACTAAAACTTAATTAAACTAAACTTTTTATTTTACCAGGTAAGGCCCACTGAGCTATATACATTTTTTTAGAAGCGACCTGGTCACAAATGACAGCTCAACGAAGCTGCTTAACCACGTGGATATTTCTAACAAATACTATAAACGTCTGTTTCAAAATTCGGAGGGAAATCCACGTGACCACGTGGAGAGACATGCAAAACTCAAAATATGCAGGCGTCAGGGTCAGGGATCGAACCCACAACCTCCTACAATACCAAGGGTTTCCGGTGATCACCGGTTGCCTGGAGATTCAACTGTGCAGCATTTCCCCCAAAGAACCCACTTGCATACCTCTCACTGTGATGTGGCACGCAGCAATGGCAGAGCATAATTAGCCTGGGGCTTGGTGAGAGGAACGAAATGCCTCCCTGCCTCCCCCCATCCAATGTTCTCCTCTCTGCATAGCCAAGTGCCTTGGGTCCCACCGGTCCATGAATCCCGGTGAGGCTGCAGTAAAAACAAATATATAATCAGTTTAACACGTAGGGCTTTCGCGACCAATATTATTCATAATCAACGTTTTTGGGTTTAGATCGCATTATTTATAAATGTGTCGTAACCCTCCACCACCTGACACGGCCAATCAGTAAAAAAGTGTCACGTTGACAAAAGACAAATAGTGTGAAACCACAACATTTGCAAATTGTAAATGTTGTGGTTTCACGCTTCAACACACCGGTGGGCTAAAGCACTCTCCCCACCCAGCCCCTCCCCACCCTCCCCTCCCCACCCAGCCCCTCCCTCCCCACCCAGCCCCTCCCTGCACGACGGACGGACGGACACAATAATCCCCTGTGGGCTGGTGTAACCAGGAGGTTCCTACCAGTAAAAAGTCCCTACTGGAGCGTCATGCAGAACTGTACGGTATATATACAATTGCACAAGTTGCCAAAGCATTTGGAATAAAAAAAAAATAACAACTGGTGGCTTCATTTTAAGACGTAGTTTGTTTTTATTCAAAGGCAAAGTATTCTTTTATTTGTTGTTGAGCACGGGCCCAAATGCCCCCAAAGCACCAAGTGTCAATTTACAAACAACACCATGGAAGGTGTATTAATAGATTTACGGGCTCATGCAACTCTTGAAGAATCTGGGAAAGAGACGATTGGATGGAATTCTTAAAGTGGAGTAAGTTCGAGTGAAGAAGTAGAAAACAAATTTTGGCCTGCAGTGTGGTGGTTGAACACAGAACGGCAATCTGTAACCAGAGCCTCCACAATCATGAACTAATTATAGATTTGAAGCTTTCGTGACTGCAGGGATTCATACTCTTAGGTTTTTTCGGTAAAGTCACGTAGGTAAAATAAAAATAAATAATAAACAGAATAGAAATAATAGAAATAAAAAATCATGCCGTTTCGGAGGCAACACAAGCAATCCTCATCAGGTGGAACAACCACAGCAAGAAAAAATATCTCAAAATGACAATGAATTTGATTTTAATGTTTTAGCTGGTTGCAGTACAGTGTTTATATTTTAAATGCAAATTTTGCTTACATCTCGGTCGTGATTTCCATGACTGTAGTATTTTACTCTATTTGACACTCTTTAGTTTATTCTACATTTAGTCATAAAACGGCATCTTTGCTACTTTTTTTTAACTACTCAATTTTTATTTGACCAGGTAAGGCCTACTGAGCTATGTAGCTCTTGAGAAGCGACCTGGCCAGAAATGATATCTCAATGAAGTGGCTTATAATGTGGACATTTATAGTAGCCAAATAATTCTATATTTGAAGCTTTCGTGACTGCAAGGATTCATATTCTTAGGTTTTTTTCGGTAAAGTCACGTAGGTAAAAAATTAAAATTAATAAAAGTAAAATAAAAATAAAATAAAAATCACGACGTTTCGGAGGCAACACAAGCTTCCGTCTTCAGGTGGAACAGTCACAGCACGCTTGCTGTATCAAGATACAGCTATCGTGCTGTGACTGTGTGTTTTATTTAACTTTTATTAATTAAATTTTTTTACCTACGTGACTTTACCGAAAAAACCTAAGAATATAGTAGCCAAATACTCAAATGTTTCTAAATGTAAATGAATCATTAACTACCCATCTCCTCCCTATTCTTCAATACTCTAAACCCTGTGAACAAATGTGTTTTATGCTCCGGAAATAATGCAATACAATTAGCGTGTTAATTTGTGTATTATGTAACTCGTGTTGGCACTGGCTCAGCCCCGCGACGAGGACGTGATCCGACGGGTTTTACACTTTACACTCGACACCATGGAATTCCAGTGGGTGGGATACAAGGGATGGGGAAGGCGAGGGGGTGGAGAAACGGGGTTGTATTTGGCGCTTAGGGGGTGGGTGGTGCACAAGCCGAAGGCAAGTAGTGGAGGAAAAGAGTGGGCGGATCAAGGACACATCTGGCAATGACCACAGAGCCCAGCGAATATCTGTTTACGCGCCCGGACGGGGGCCGGCAGATTCACAGTAGCGCCCAGAGTCAATGCGCCCGCTGAACCAACGCAGAAGAGAAGCCGGATCGTCTGCCGCGATGGACGGAGAACCGGCCACGCAGAAGGTACCTTTTAGGAAGCCGCGGTTTTAAAATGTCAACAATTTTCCAGTGGTCGTTTTGTAAAAAAAAAAAAAATTCATCACAGCGAGGCGCGCGGGATGCCGGTCCGATTAATTAATTTGCGCCCGTTTTTGTTTTTTGGCGATAGAGGCACAATATTCACCGACTGACGCGCGGCTCGCCTTGCCCGTCTTTCACTTTTGAGGCTGTGTCGCTTAAAGGGCTTTTGGCTTCTTCATCGCCCCCTCCCCCGCAAGACGGTCACGCTGTGACCCCAGGATGAGGTCGTTTCGAGCGATGAGTTCCTCTTGGGTTGGACGGGTGTTCACCCTAGTCGGTTCGTGTGCTAAATATTTATTTCGGTGACCGCCTTCAAGGAGGGTATCTGGGCAACAAGAGGCTAAGCGGGTTACGGAGCCACAACTCGCCAAGCTTACTTAGTCACTTTAAGATGTTTTCTTGTTCATGTTTTTGTCTTTTGTTTGTTGCGGTTGCACCCGATTCAAGAGCCGAATGGCTCACAGGGCTATACCAAAGAAATGAAACTGATAACTTAAACTGAGTCTGCACCTACATTGTCACCCGCAGTGATTAATGATCACGAATGATCACATACGGTCAATGACGGAGCCAGGATTTTCAGGTAGGAGGGGCAACCCCTCCAGCAATGAAAAATGATAGAGGAGTTGTTAGTAAGTAAGGACTTGTCCCTTGATTTTTATTCGAGGCGTGTGCGGCGATGGCGCAGCCATCGATCGAGGGTCGAATTCGAACCGCGTTGTGTGATCGGCATCGCGCTCGCTGAATGTGTTAATACCTTCAGGGAAGTAGTGTACTCTATACTCAACTGCGCACAATTCTGTGAGTCACTTATAACCGCTTTGCCGTCACTTATTGCCAATTATGGACTCAGACTATTGTCCTATCATCTCATAGAGTCTCTGGCACGTAATAATATGCTACACAGTGGCAGTGTGGGTCGCAAAATGCCGATGTATTACTAATAAACCCCAATGATCCGATCGAAATTAGGGATTTCGATCGGATCATTGGGGGGGGGGGGCACGTGCCATCCCACTCCACTCGCTCCGCCAGTGCATAGGTATTTCACGAAGAGCTGGGATGGGAGACAGTCTTGGTAGTGAGTACTGGAGGCGGTTCTAAAAATACTTTAAAATGTACATCCTTGGGGTTCAGAAATGTGCAATGTATCCTGCGTGTGAATGCGAGTTCACACAGCCAGCCACGGACACTATAGCGGGCTGTTCTTATTTTTAAAGCCATGCGGTTGATGGACGTGCGCAGTGATAAAAAAACAAATTTATTTTGAAACGGAGATCATTCTTAATGAGGACAATTAACCACATCCACTGGCTAGGGCCTAACAGTTACAGAAACCCTGGTACAGGGTCCATGCACTGTGACTGAGCATTTAGGTGCCGTTCTGGCAGCGTTACTTACATTTCTTGGTAAACGAAATATGATCTGTTTACAACTAAATGTTTATCCATGAAGGAGGGGGAATCTGAGAAGGTCTCTTTGCTGTTTTTTTCTAAACACTCAGGGGGCTCCACACCTTTTCCGTGACCCCATGTTCGGTGCTGCTTAAGAGTACAGGGATTGAATATTACAGCATATTGCCCGCCCGATGTACTCACTGGCAGCCGCTAGCCAGCACATTGTCCAATTAGTCATGGATACATTCGTAAAATCTGTGCGTCTTACAGTAACCGAAATACATTTACGTGAATTTAAGCCGCATTAAGCTACAGGTGGTCGTTTGTGAACTTTAAAATTGTTCGAGAAATCAAAAGCGGTCAGGCAATTGCCTTTTTATGCCGATTTGTTACCAACAAATCCACCACAGTGACTCATAATAAAACTTGTACGATGTTGTTCGACTGTGCTGAATGGGCCCCGCCATGTCCATGTAGAGCTATTGCCTAAACATCAGGAAAGCCAGCAGCAATTCATTTAACAGGCTACATGCTGCTGATGAGTACTGGGGTAGTGGAAACCGGTCCAGTGCTTCTTTGATGGAACAAGTGCCGTTGGAAATCATTGTCTGTAATGCTTATAGGCTGATGGGCTACAATAAGGGATCTTACAATCCCCCTCCCCCGACCCTCACTGTTGGCAAGCTATGGTTTCAATCAGATTAAGAAATAACTACAGTGAAAACCTTGGATTGCGAGCATAATTCGTCCGGTAACGTGCTCGTAATCCAAAGCACTCGTATATCAAAGCGGATTTCCCCGTAAGAAATAATGAAAACTCAGATGATTCGTTCCACAACCCAAAAATATTCATATAAAAATTATTAATACAAATTACTATACCTTTTTATATTTGTATTTAAATTTAATATAAAGTAATCAAATGTATTAATCAAATTTAATCGTGGCTGGTGTGAGGGAGACGAGAGAGAGGAGAGGAGAAAGGGGGGCATTGTTGCAGTACAGCTACTAAAGAACAGTCACTACACTTGGACACAAAATAAAAAAAAATGTACGCACACACTCGTGGTCACAACACTATAGTATACATTCGCACGGATGTTGACTATACGAGTGAGGCACGCCGACTGAGACCGAGCATGGGAGACGATTACCCACAGTCCCGCAGCGAGAGAGAAAGAAGAACCATTGGCTCAGTTGCGATCACGCGACGCTCGGCAGACAAAGCGTATACTGTACATACTGCTCGTATTGCAAGACATCGCTCGTTTATCAAATTAATATTTATTTAAAATTGTTGCTCGTCTTGCAAAACACTCGCAGACCAAGTTACTCGCAATCCAAGGTTTCACTGTATTTATATTTAGCGGTGAATCTAGCGGCATCTAGTGGCTGGTGGGAAATGCACGAAACCCATGACATACCATCGTCGACGTCGGCAGTCCCTCGGGTTTCGAGGATGACGTCCATCAGATTTCGTGGTGGCTCGTGAGTTGGCTGAAGGAGTCCAATAGATTCTTACAAAACATGAACCCATGCACGTATTGTGAGCTCGGGCAGCAAAGGCCATCGATGAATCGATGTATCCATCGATTGCATCAATAGTTCACAAAGCCAGCCAGTCAGACGAGGCGAGGTAATCTCAACCTGACCTGCCATGTTAACGATCCCGTCTGCATTTGTAAATGCCAGTCAGACGAGGCGAGGTAATCTCAACCTGACCTGCCATGTTAACGATCCCGTCTGCATTTGTAAATGCTTCCCAACTGAGTTTGAAATTGTTCGGGCATTATCTATGTCTGTCCATTCATCCGAAACGGGGAGAGGAGGGGGGGGGGGGGGGTAGCGGGGTTGGGTGTCTGCACATTAATGCTCATAAACATGATCCAATATGAACCAAACTTGAGCATAAAGTGATGTTGCTGTTAGACACTTACCCGATAAAAAATTGGCTAAATTGGCCAAACAATTGCTCAAAATTTGGAGACGCAAACCAGGCTAAAATTACTTTTCACTAATATATATAAAAAAAACACATGTTGCTCTGAAAGCTACCGGTCCGCTTCTTTGGTTCTTTCGGTAGAGTCACGTAGGTATAAAATTAAATAAATAAAATCACGACGTTTCGGGTGCAACACAAGCGTCCGTCATCAGGTGGGACAACCACAGCAAGAAACAATTGCTCAAGTGGGCAAAAGGGCAGCGCTATGAACCCGGCGACACGGGTTCGATTCCCACTCCAGAAATTGTTTCTTGCTGTAGTTGTCCCACCTGATGACGGACGCTTGTGTCGCGCCCGAAACGTCGTCATTTAATTTATTTTATACCTACGTGACTTTACCGAAAGAACCAAAGAGTATGGATCCCTGCAGTCACGAAAACTTCTAGTTTCGGTCAGCTTCTGTTACTGCTAACGAAATGCTTGAGAGGAGGACAACGCTGACACGTGACGATATTCTCTTGAACCCGTTTGTTCCGCTCCCCAGTGGCAGACTCGCCTCGGCATCTGTCTGCTGATCGCCGTGATGGCCCTGCCGCTCCGAGCCACCTCCTCCGAGTCGTACATGGCTAAGCTCTTCAAGCACGTCGATGCCACGCAAGAGCAGTACGTGCAGGTGAGAGGCTGCGTGAAGAGGAGATCATCAGGACAATAGTCTGCTGTTGGCTCTCGCCCAAGCCGACAGGACGTTGGGTCATCCGTGTAGAATTTTGAATGGAGTGTAAAGCCCACGGACACTTTGTAAGTTCCGTGTGCTATGTTGGTCTCCGGGAGGTTATTCAAGTCTATGGGCCCTATGTAAGTCCGAGGTCTATGGGTGCTGCTATATTAGTCTATGGATCCTATTTTAATTGAGAGGTGCTATGTTAGGATTGAGCCATGATAGTGTACGGGTCCAATGGACCATATTAGTCTATGGATGCTGTATGGGTCTATAGGCACCAAGTGGGTCTCTACGTCCTATGTTGGTCTATGGGATGCTATTCAGGTTCATGGGCCCTGTGTAAATCGATGGTCTATGGGTCCTATATTAGTCTATGTTTTCTATTTTAAATTTTACGTATGCATGTTGAACTTCTTCTGCACCGTACGTAGCCAACCTTGCTGACCGGAGGTGCGGGTGCTAATTTAATCTAAAGTCATATGTTAGTCTATGGGTCATGTGTATCCTGTTCATCTATGGGACCTGTGTCCGTGCATGAGCTGTGATCGTCTATAAGCCTTAGGTTTGTCTGTGTTGTTTAGATTTCGTCGTTATTTCGTAATCTCACGTTAATATTTCATGATCTGCAAAGGTACTTATCATAATAAAAGAACGTAACGTTCCCCCCCCCACAACCACGTTTGTTTGCTGCAAAGTCAAGGTTAAAATACATGATTTCTCCCACTCAGCATTTATAAATCATATCGGCTACTCTCTATGCCAAGCAGTAAAACAATGAGTAAGCTGAACTTTGAGTTGCACAGTTCAGGAGTGGTTAAAATATCAATGAGGGGTAAAATGTATCCGTTCGTTTCTCAGTCCGCTGGTCCTGGTGAGGGTCGTGGCGGCAGCGTGTTGAGTAGTGGTAGTTCAGAACTTCCTTTCCCTGGCGACAGACTCCAGCACTACACTACTATACACTACACTATACACTACACTATTATACACTATACACTACACTACTATACACTATACACTACACTATACACTACACTACTATACACTACACACTACTATACACAGACTCTAGCTCTTCCTGGGGAATTCCCAGGCATTCCCAGGCCAGCCGAACGACACACGGTCGCACCCGACTTAAGAGCCGCATGGCTCACAGGGCTATACCAAATAAATGAAACTTGAATAAAACTTGAAACTTGTGTCCTGGGCCGGCCCCGGGGTCTTCGCCCAGTGGGACGTTGCTGCTGCTGCCCGGTAGAGTTTCAGGGGCAGTCTACCGGGGGGCTTCCTTTACCAGGTGCCCGAACCACCTCCAACTGGCTGCTCTCGATCCGGAGGAGCAGCGGTAAAATTTGTCTCCTTTAATACCATAAAGCATGAATGGGGAAGGCTTACGGCTCACAGAGGGTGGTATGGCCCATGGCTTAATTTCACATAAGCCATGGTCACACGAAGCCCATCACTTCCAAACAATATTTATCCGTCGTCGCTGCAAGCATCTTGGCCACACTAATCGGACACCAGAGGGGAATAGTTTCGACTTGTTAGCGCTGTACTTCTCATTTTTTTGCGAGCTCAATCAAATCTGTCGCTCACTGCAAGGGTCTCTGTACAGTGACGAAGGCGACTGATGTGTGTGCGTGCGTGTGTGTGTCACCCCTGACCTCTTCCTCTACCCTGACCCCTGACCCCAAGGAGAACCTGTAAAGTAGTGTTCTTCGTTGCAAGGCCCGCGGGCCACTGGGGACCCCTGGTGGCCTTTAGTGCAGCCCCCCGAAAATACACAAATAGTGAAAACACCCCCCCCCCCCATCATCGTTGTGCTGCGGTCAAACCCTAATGGTTTCAAATGCGCGGCGGCCCTCGAACTGACGATGGCTTGTGATAGCTTTTTACCCTTTCAACTGGTACAAAAACTGACACCTTTATACAAGGCATCATGTTTGCAATAACCACAACACAAGCAGTCAAAATGCAAACAAAAAGAAACAACTCTGATAATGATATGCACTGTCCTTGGAAGTTGATTGGTCCACACCCGAGACAGCTTTTCTTAGAGCCTAGTCTCCATTGGTGTTGGACCAGATGACGCCAAAAGGCGGACAACTCAAAGACAGCGCACTATCAGAGTATTGAGAGCTCAGGGTAAGCATTTAATGGAGACTAGGCTCTAAGAAAAGCTGTCTCGGGTGTGGACCAATCAACTTCAAGGACAGTGCATATCATTATCAGAGTTGTTTCTTTTTGTTTGCATTTTGACTGCTTGTGTTGTGGTATTGCAAACATGATGCCTTGTATAAAGGTGTCAGTTTTTGTACCAGTTGAAAGGGTAAAAACCTATCACTATATTTTGCCACTGGTAAAGGAGATGTCTCGTAGTGACGATGTCTTCTCGGTGAAAGTGAAAACTAGCGAAGGACACCGTAGTAAATGGTGGCAGCCCTGGTCACGTGACAGCTGCTGATACCTGTGCAGGAGCTGCGCAAGTGGGTGGCGGTGCAGAGCGTGTCGGCCTTCGCGGAGCGCCGGCCCGACATGATCCGCATGGCGGAGATGGCGGCCGAGCGAGTGCGGTCCCTCGGAGGGGTCGCTGAGCTGGCGGGCGTCGGCAACCACACGGTAACCACACGGCAACCACACGGTAACCACACGGTAACCACACGGCAATCGCACGGTAACCACACGGCAACCACACGGTAATCGCACGGTAACCACACGGCAATCGCACGGTAACCACACGGCAACCACACGGTAACCACACGGCAACCACACGGTAACCACACGGCAACCGCACGGTAACCACACGGTAACCACACGGTAATCGCACGGTAACCACACGGCAACCACACGGTAACCACACGGTAACCGCACGGTAATCGCACGGTAACCACACGGCAACCACATGGTAACCACACGGCAACCACACGGTAACCACACGGTAACCGCACGGTAATCGCACGGTAACCACACGGCAACCACACGGTAACCACACGGCAACCACACGGTAACCAGCGCCAGCTCTCGCTTGCGGACGAGCTTGGCCGGTCTGAATGTTGTACTCTACTTCAGCGGTGATACGAAAACGTACCTACAGTAATAGCCCCATTTACATCTTCTGCCTTTTGACGTCGTTTCGCAAGTACGTCGTCGCTTTATGAATACCGTGACCCGATTTCCATCCCATCAAGCCACACTTACATATGTACGTTAAACTGCTTTCGCACCGTACGAAGACAACCATGCCAATCGTCGCTGACAGCATCATCTGTTCTGTCTTGTATCCGTCGTCCCAGCTTTCGCCTCCACCACCTACCATGTAAACCGCTTTGATCGACGTCGTTTAGATATTCGTTATCGCACCTTTCAGGAACGCATCCCCGACGTAAACCCGGTTATCACTGTATAAAGAAAACAGGTGATTAGTCTCTTGGCCTGTAGGCTATTCAAACGAATATTATCCATCTGTATTTATTTAAGCAAATTAAACTCTGACACCCGTTTCAAACTTCTGCTGGGCCTCACCAGCAAAGTGAGGCTTGATCAAACAATTGCTGCTGGGTTGCAAGACGTTATTGGCAAAGCACATTCCATATAAACGATGGGGGCCCCGCAATTCAACACAAAAAATATAGTGTACGAACTTATCCATTGTTGTGGAGCATTATGGGTAAAAACATGTTTATAATTTTTTTTTACCAGATAAGGCCCACTGAACTATATACTATAGCTCTTTTTCATAAGCGACCTGGCCACAAATGATAGCTCAACAAAGTGATTTATAACGTAGAAATGTATAGCAGCCAATACTCCTAACACATGTTTATAAATGTGGGAGGGGAAAACGTGGCAAAAAATTCCACGCGACCACGTGAAGAACATGCAAACTGCAAAATATACAGAGCGGCAGGGTCAGGACCTAACCCACACGACCTCCTATATACCAGGCGATCCACCCCACGCCAACCAATGCTCCTCCTTCTGGTCCCAGACACCGGACGGGGAGGTGGTGCAGTTGCCACCCGTTGTGCTCGGCACCTTCGGAGACGACCCCGCCAAGCCGACGGTGATGGCGTACGGGCACCTCGACGTGCAGCCGGCCCGCATGGACGACGGCTGGGACAGCGACCCCTACGTGCTCACCGAGAAGGACGGTGCGTCTCGCTAACCCTTTCCTGTTCCGACGACGTACACACACGTACCAATGACGTACGTACGCACAGCGTGCACGTCGCCAGCTTTTTCTTTCCGTTTCCGACGGCGTACGCGCACGTCATCGGGAACGGGCGGACCAGCATTCTGTTTTATTGTAAGGGTGTCTAAATTATAGAATGTCATTCACTCTCAAATGTGTGCACATGCAGAGCCGTTTTGCTAATCTATTGTTGGGTGAGGGCCCCCCAAGCCATGCGGGTTATTTGTCCAACCTTCACCACGCTGCCCATTGCAGGTCGGTGAAGGCCAGGGAGCATACACGTGGGAGCATGGAAGTACAGTACAACACTGCAATTTTCTGAACTGCCCCCCCCCCCCCCCCGATGACAAAGTAGCTCCACAGCAGCCTGCAGTAGCGATTGCTTGCACGGTGGACGTCCGTCCAAGCACTATCCAGGCTCAAGCCTTCTTAGCTTCTGACATCTGATGGGATTGGGTACCTTCCAGATGATTTAGTCATAGGCTTAATCATTGTCCCAGAAACTGGTTTCTCGCAGTTTTCAGTCTTGTCAATAATTGCAATTCAGTCCGGGTTACATAACACGCTGGCACTTTCGTTGCATATTGTACCGTTGGCTTTGACGCCAAGGTTAAGGCCAGCGTTGCTGCATTAGAAGACCTAAGAATAGAACTACGATAAGCGGTTGGTACAATATCATTGCAGAAATAAAAAAAAGAATGCTATCGAGGGCATTAAAATACTTTAAGGGGCGCCACGGTGGCGAAATGTTAAGTATCACGCCTGGCATACAGGAGGTCGTGGGTTCCATCCCGACCCTAACTCCTGTATATTTGGAGTTTGAATGTTCTCCCCGTTGTCGTGTGGATTTTTCTCCGGTTCCTCCGGTTTGCCCCTCCACATTTAGAATCAACATCACGTGTTTATAGTATCGACTGCTTTACATTTCCACATGGAAAACCACTTCGTTGAGCTGTCATTCGTGATAGCCACGTGGCTTTTGAAAAAATTGAGCTATGAAGCTCAAGTGGGCCTTTACCCGGCAAAATACCAAAACATTGTTTTAGTTTTTAGTTGAAACAGATTCTCCACCTTGAGAGAAACGCGCTCAACTTGTCCCGCTAAGGCAGGCGCAGCTGATGCCTGTAGGATGTGATGGTTAGCACACCGGACGTTGCAATCGAGAGGTTCCGCCGGTCTGATTGACGCCCCCGGCGTGGCAGTTGAAACGATGGTGTGAGTTTCTCCAATTACCTTCCCCCTCCTCTCTGCCTATGTCCATCGGGCGGTATGAATGGGTACGCTGCCACAGTTAGCCGTGCGGTGGGATTAACATTGTGGGTGCCTCCACCCAACCTCTGGAATAGTGGGCTCTCGTTTCCTCATGAGGGGAACTCCCCAGAGCTCCTGTTTTAATGGGAGCCATCCGTGAAAAACAAAGTGCTTCATAGCTCATCAGATTTCTCCAGGATATATGTTAAACACAATGGAACGTGGGAGCACATCTATGCGGAACAGCCTCATGTAATGTATACAAAGTCCTTACTGAGAAGCCCTACATAATGACTCTCTGCGGTCAATCCACTGCTAGATGAAGGCCTTGTCATGCTGTGCGGGCCATGTGGGGTTATTTAACTACACTTCAGCTCGCTGGTTAGTGCGGCTTGGTGAAGACAGGGGACATAGACAAGGAAGGACAACAAACTAAACACACAAATAACTGCTTTTTGCGTGTCAAGTTTGTTGTCCTTCCCCGCACCTACCGATTTGTACGGGTGGCTACGTCCGGTGCAAACAAAATAAAACATGGAACACACGTGCAAACAATGGAGCGTTGTAACTGCGCAACGCCACGTCAGAATATTTATTTATACTGCAGGAATTCCGATGAGCTACGAAGCTTTTGTCTTTTTCCCCGCAGACACCAGTGGGTGAAGCGAGCGAGCGAGCGAGCGATGGCATTGCCGCACCTTTTGCCCACCTACGGAGGTGGTGGTGGGGGGGGGGAAGGTGCACACGCGAACAAATCCCACCCCCCCCCCACAGCCCCCCTTACAAGGAAGCTGCACTCAGCAGTTTGGCACCAGTCCACGTGCGGTCCGGGTTGGCCCCGAGCTCGAAGAGAGAAATGTGGACACCGTGGGGCGTGGGCAGTCAGAACCTTGCCAAAGCCTCAGCCTGGCCCTTCGTCACGTCTGCCCGCTCTATATTTATTGAGCGCGGTTATAAATACATTACCACGAAGCGCAAACTGCGTTGAGGCGTGGGGGGTGGCGGTGCGGGGGGGGGACGTCTCGCTTTACCAGCGGAGCGGAGGAGCATGCGGTGGACATGCACCGGCACACACGTGCCAGACTTAGTGCCGCTGATTCCTATTGGACGACGCGGTTGGGGGGGCGGGAGGGGGGGTCACCAGAGTCCTCGCGCGGAATTAGACATTTGGTATTGACCCCGAGGATGGCACAAAGACATCAATCGGTAAACTACCTGCCGTGACGTATTCATCAGAAAAGTTGACTTTTTTTTATTTTACACTCGGCAAAGCCTCGCTGAGTCTCAAGACTCTAATTATTTTTCAGCAGGGGTCCTGCCAGGCTACAACGCCAGATGCCGGTGCAGCAATTTCTGGACAGCCGCGGCCTTTTACGGGAAACATAACCCCAAGTGCTGTCGGCGAGGGATCGCTGTACGTGTGATCCCACTTGGGGACGATTTACATCGAGAGAAAGAGAGAGAGAGAGTAAAAGAGGAGCAGGTGGATGAGAGAACATACGCAGAGTTTCGCTTTAAAGCTTTCGTGACTGCAGGGATTCATCTTCTTGGTTCTTTCGGTAAAGTCACGTAGAATTATTTCAATTCTACGTGACTTTACCGAAAGAACCAAGAAAACGTGAGCGGTCATTTTGATTCGTCAGTCGCCAGATCATGGAGACGGCTGATGCCGCTGCTGTTGCCGATGTATTCAACTTTCGATTTAAAGCTTTCGTGACTGCAGGGATTCATCTTCTTGGTTCTTTCGGTAAAGTCACGTAGAATAGAAATAATAAAATAATAAAAATAAAACAGAATAAAATTACCAAAGTATGTTTTATTTTCATGATTTTATTATTTCCATTCTACGTGACTTTACCGAAAGAACCAAGAAGATACTCAGGGTTGAAGAGGGGACAGCACACGGAGCCGGGAGGGGTTGAAGGACACTGGTCGAGACTAACGACAGAATTGCAGCCAAAGGAGGGGGAACAGAAGTGACCCACCGCGGAGACGGAGCGATGAAATCAGGCTCGTGTGCAGCTCCTCGCCTATTGCATTGCAGCAATGTGAGAAAGAGCGATGGCTCAGAGAAGCCCTCATCTAAGATTAGATTGAGGATGATGGTGGCGGCGGTGATGAGATGGCACCGATTTTCTATTTTATTTCACGATCAGGGTGGAGTAGCGGCACAGTGAGTCGCCGTGCCGGCGCTGCGGACCCGACGACTTAAGTGGATCCGTCGTAACTTCATTACTGACACCACCACCCGTCGCCTCAACCCGCACACTCGCGTCGCCTGACAGCATCGCTCCGTCCCTTCTCGTTATCCGTTGCCTCTCACACGGGAAAACGATTTGACCAAAGGCGTTTCTGTTACTCGTATTGCAATATTTTGTCGATTCTCATTCCTTACTCTGGATGCACTATTTTGCAATATGTTTCTCGAATCTTAATGTTTAGTTTAGTTAAATATTTAATTTATAATTAAGTAATACATTGTATTTTGTTTTATTTGTTGACTGTTTTCATTGCTGTATTTATTGTATTTATATTTTTTATGCAACCTGTTGCCAAAGTTGTTTTTTTTAATTTGACAGTTCTGTTTTGTTGATGAAACCCGATTCACGAACACTTAGCTCACAGGGCAATTCTAAATAAACTGTTCAAAACTGTTCAAACTCCACCACCTACCCTGTAAAATTGCTTCGATTTACATTGTTTCAGGAAGGCATCCCCGACGTAAACCGAGGTACTGCACTGTATTTGGTCTGCAGCTAACGTGCGCCGTGCCGCCTTTCCGCAGGTAAACTCTATGGACGTGGGGTGTCTGACAACAAGACGCCAGTCCTCGCTTGGCTCAACAGCATCGAGGCATTCCGTAGCATCGGGCAGGTGAGATGGCTCCCACTGGCCACGCTGATGTCTCCCCATCACGAGTTCTAAACGGCCCTAAAGCTGCAACACGGGATGCAAGCTGAGGGACTTGGCCAGGGTTCGAACCTGCATCACCGGAGTCAAAGGCGTAGAGCAGCACCAACCGTATGGTGTATATATATGCACAAACATACGTACACGCAGATGCACACACAACCTCGTCATCATTCGGACGCTGTCTTTTCGACAGCCCTGTTCCTCACCTGAGGACGGCTGCTTGCGTTGTGGCCGAAACGTCGTGAGAATATTCTTTTATCATGTTTTATTTTTTATTATTTCCCTTCTACGTGACTTTACCGAAAGAACCAAGAAGATAAACAATGGTTTTCAAAAATACTCGCAGTCTCACCCGAGCTCACGCCATCGTGCCCCTGTGGCTCCCCGCTCCCTTGCTGCTTCTTCTCCTCCTCCTCACCACGACCACCACCACCACGACCAGCCGCTGCCCGTGAACCTGCGCCTGGTGTTTGAGAGCCTGGAGGAGGTGGGCTCCCCGGGGCTGGCGGAGCTGCTGGCGCGGCGCCGTCACACCTTCCTGCGCGACGTGGAGCACATGTGCGTGTCCGACAGCGAGTGGCTGAGCGTCGGGGTGCCCGCGCTCTCCTACGGCCTCCGCGGGAACTGCTACTTCTTCGCGGAGGTGAGAGCGCCCGGGCGAACGGTCACGTCGCCAGCCTGACACTCGGCAAGTTTTGTACCTGTTTATATATTTTGTTATTTTATTGTTGTTTATTAGAGCCAGGTACAAAGCACGAGCGACGGGGGGAAGGGGTGCAGATTTTTCGTGGACGATTAGCCCCCGAGGACACGTGCCCACGGGATAGGGGAAAGGGATTCTAGATTTGAAGTTTTCGTGACTGCAAGGATCCATACTCTTTGGTTCTTTCGGTAAAGTCACGTAGGTGAAAATAAAAAATAATAAAAATAAAAGATAAGAATTAAAAAAGGGATGAGCGATTGGGCTCACTGCTCTACTAACGTAGGGGCGACGTTTGGGAACTTGGCATATATTTGGGGGGGGGGGGGGAGCAGAGGGATAGGGGTGGAGGGGTGGCGGGAAAGAATGTCCCCAAACAAAACCGCAGGTGTGAAATCCACAGCAAGAAAATTCTCACGACGTTTCGACAGCAACACAAGCAATCATCATCAGGTGTGAAATCCACAGCAAGAAAATTTTCTTACTGTGGAGAAAATTTTCTTGCTGTCGAAACGTCGTGAGAATTTTATTGTTAATTATTTTTATTATTTTATTATTTCCCTTCTACGTGACTTTACGGAAAGAACCAAGAATATGAATCCCTGCAGTCACGAAAGCTTTAAATCAAAACACAAAAAGCAGTTATTGTTGTGTTTAGTTTGTTCACCTTCCTTGTCGATGTACCCTGTCTTCACCAAGCCGCACTAACCAGCGTACTGAAGTAAAGTTAAACGGCCCGCACGGCATGAGGAGGCCCATATCTACCAGTGGATTGACCGCATAGCGATATTATATAAGGGTTCTCAGTAAGGACTTTACATACATTACTTCAGGCTGTGCGCATCGATGTGCCCCTCCTGTGTCTGATTGTGTATAACAACACTAGCACGCAATCAGAATCTTCGTTTATCCTGGGAGAAATCTGACGAGCTACAAAGCTATTTTTTGCAGACGTCCTGTCGGATGCGCCTTTTGGCGTCATCTGGTCCAACCCATGTGAGACTAGGCTCTAAGGAAAGCTGTCTCGGGTGTGGACCAATCAACTTCAAGGACAGTGCACATTATCAGTTATGTTTTTTGTTTGCATTATGACTGCAGGTATTGTGGTCTATGCAAACATGACTCCTTGTAAAAAAGGTGTCAGTTTTTTGCCAGATAAAAGGGTAAAAAAAACAATTATCATATTTTTTGCTGGCAAATGAGGTTCCCATAGTGTAGATGCTTGCCCCGAGCTCTCATACTCTGATGGTGCATTGTCTTTGAGTTGTGCGCCTTTTGGCGTCATCTGGTCCAACCCATGTGAGACTAGGCTCTAAGGAAAGCTGTCTCGGGTGTGGACCAATCAACTTCAAGGACAGTGCATACATTATCAGAGCTATGTTTTTGTTTGCATTATGACTGCAGGTATTGTGGTCTATGCAAACATGACTCCTTGTAAAAAAAAAGGTGTCAGTTTTGTTGCCAGATAGAAGGGTAAAAAAACAATTATCATATTTTTACTGGCAAATGAGGTTTCAATGGTCCTGTCGGAGGTCGAGGCGTCGAAACGTCGGGCTTCAGTCGCCCGTGAGAAGTCAGCCTCCTCCTTCTCACGGCTCTCTTTTCTCACGGCACACCTCCTCGTGGTTTTTCCACTGCACAGGTGACGGGGACGAACAAGGACCTGCACTCGGGGACATACGGAGGCTCGGTCCACGAGGCCCTGGGGGATCTCGTCGCTTTAATGAGTAGCCGCCTCCCCCGCCCTGCCACTCCCAGCGCAATCACTCATCCCACCACTCGATCGTGCAATCATTCACTCGCAAACCGCTCGCGTATCAAACCCGCCCGCACTCGCTCAACAGCTCAAAAGGCCTCACTCCTGATCTCACTCATTCACACTCTCACTCGTAAAAGCCACTCACCCATGCAACCACTCACTCAATTATTCACAGCTCACTCATACGCCAACCTACCCACATTCACTTAATAATTACAACTCTCATTCTTGCCCTCACTCACTCACTCACATTCTCACTCACCTATCCACTCACTCTCACGTAACCACTCATGTAACCACTCACACACCTATCTACCCACCCACAACACCCAGTCACTCACTCACTCAGATTCAAACCATCACTCTCACTCATACTCCCACTCACTCAACCAGCCATGCTTCAATCACTCACTACTCAAAGACAAATATCCCCCATATAGCCTTAACAGACAGGTGGGGCAAGTGCTTAACACGTAGGCTTTCGCGACCAATTGCCCGATGATGCTGGATGTAATTACCAGCGAAACGTCGTTCTCAAAAAATTAAAATGTTGTGGATTCACTCTTCAACAAAACGGATGGGCTATAGCAGTGAACTATTTGTCTTTTGTCAACGTGACACTTTTTTTACTGATTGGCCGTGTCGGGTGGTGAAGGGTTACGACACATTTATAAATAACACGATCTAACCCAAAAACCTTTATTATGGGGCAAGTGCTGTTTGCGAGCACCTGTGAAGGCCACGCACACAAACTCACTAACCTAACCACTCACCCACCCACTGACCAGTGGTGTAGCTATCAAGTGTGCAGGCAGTGCAACTGCACCGGGGGGCGGGGGGGTGGGGGTGCAGCGGGGGGGGGGCTCACGCACCAGAGGGCCCATGCCAACCACTCTATGCCACTGCCACTGACCCAGTCACCCACCCAGCCACTCATTGATCGACAGGTTTCGTCAGGGTTCTCCTCCCTTCTGATCGATCTGCCGGCTGCAGGCAGCCTCGAGAGCAGCGCCGGGAACATTGCGGTGCCGGGGCTCTATGACTCGGTGGCGCCGCTCACGAGGGAAGAGAAGGAGATCTACGAGAAAATCCACTTTGACCCCGAGGAATTTCGCAAGGAGATTGAGGCACCAGCCTTGCTCTACCCCACCAAGGCAAGGCCCGCCGGGACCCGACCCCCTAATTGCCTTACCGTGCCGATTATTGTCATCGTCGTCATCACCGTCATCATAATGTACTTCATCTTTGGTCTATCCCACTACTTGGATGAAGGCCTCGCCAACGTTGATGCCATCCCATTATTTTATTGTTATCCAATTGCTTGAATGATTACACTGGTCAACAGTGAAAACACTTTTTTTTCTGGCCTGGACTTTTGCAGCTGTTTTAGACTAATTTCAATGTGCTGATTCCAAATCTGATCTCAGATTTGCTCTATCACATCTCATTTTATGCTATTGGCTTACCCCATTTTCATTGATTTTACCCAAAATTAACTCTGTCACTTATGATTGCAAGTTGTTACGAGTCAGTGACTGCTTTAGTGTTAAAATATGGTGCTGTATTTTTATGATAGTGTGTTCATAATATAATTCTATGTAGATATCCACATTTATTTAATATTTTTCTTCTGCAGTTTTTATTAAAAATGCAAAATTTGATATCTCAAAAACCTGATGTGATAGACAAAACTGATGCCAGATTTGGAATCAGCACCCCAAAATTACCTTAAACCCGTTGGAATACCTTGTGCCAGAAAAAGTGTGTTGACCAGTGTTGTGAGTCTGATAATTATCAGACCGATCGTCGGTAGGGTAGCTGCCAATTCTCTTCCTCCCAGCGACGACCTGCGGGTAAATGTATGTGTCGGGGACCGAAGCTGCAGGGGTGGGAGGGAGGTGGGAGGGTAAGAGGGAAGGGGGAGTAGGAGAAGAGAGGGGAAGGGAGGGGGAGAGGGGAGCATGTATGCATTCTGTGATCTTTATAGTGAGCAGTTAACCATATACAAATATTAAAAAGTTGTCTTCCTTTCCACTGTTAATTGGTTTTTTACCCTTCTATCTGGCAACAAAACTGACACCTTTTTTACAAGGAGTCATGTTTGCAAGTCATAATGCAAACACAAAACATAACTCTGATAATGTATGCACTGTCCTTGAAGCTGATTGGTCCACACCCGAGACAGCTTTCTTTAGAGCCTAGTCTCACATGGGTTGGACCAGATGATGTTTGCATTATGACTGCAGGTATTGTGGTCTATGCAAACATGACTCCTTGTAAAAAAGGTGTCAATTTTGTTGCCAGATAGAAGGGTAAAAAAACAATTATCATATGTTTTACTGGCAAATGAGGTTCCAATGGTGTAAATTCTTTTCCACTGTTCACTCTTCGAGCCTGCTAATAACGAGCCACCACTGCTCGTGTTATTACCCTGCGCGTGCCGGAAGAGGAGGCTGTCACATGGCTCTGTGGCTACGGGGGCTAACGTCCACTCACAATATAAAACACCGACAAACATATGCGTACATTTCATCATTTTATTGCATATCTGGTGCTCTAACCGTATGACAGTCGCGTGCAAAAAAAAAGTATTGTTCACTAAATAAATAAATAAAACTGCTGATCCTCCATTCAATTTCATCGTGCAGGACAAAATCCTGATGCACCGCTGGCGCTACCCGGCTCTCTCGCTGCACGGGATCGAGGGGGCATTCGCCGACCCGGGCATGAAGACCGTCATTCCCCGCCGCGTGCTCGGCAAGTTCTCCATCCGCATCGTGCCCAACATGGACCCAGACGTCGTGGAAGACCAGGCGAGTCATCGGCGTTGTGGCTACGGGGATGGGGGGGACGGGGAGCGGTGGGACAGCCTTGCGCCGTCTCTTTTTAAATCCTTTATATTAAGTTCGCTTGCTTGCTTAGGACCGTGCAAATCTTTCAGTCGTTTTTTAACCCACTTCCCGTTGATCCAATCGAACTGACATTTTGCACACAGACTCGTTGTGCGTGACAATTTATTTTCGTGGAAAAAAAATTGCTAAATTTTACACTGTTTAGGGAAATGTTTTTAAATATTTAATTACCAATTGTTTAATGCTGCCAGACAATCATCTGACCCATAGGTGGCAGCCATCTCAAGCCAGAGGACGAGAGGACTCTAGCCGCCCCGATGCCACGCATATAAAGGATTTAGAGGGAAAAACTTTGTTTGTACGGGTTAATTTTTTATCCTCGAGCTACAACGTTTCACTTGATACAGCAAATCTGGCTGTGACGGTCCCACCTGATGACGGAGACTTGTGTTGCCTCCGAAACGTCGTGATATTTTATTATTTTATTTTTATTAATTTTAATTTCATTTTTTTACCTACGTCACTTTACCGACAAAACTAAGAGTATGAATCCTTGCAGTCACGAAAGCTTCAAATCTAGAAGTTTCTAGGAGGCTCAAGCTGAACACGTGGGGGAGCTGGTAGCCCATCCCTCATCTATCGTGGGTTCGGTCCGGATCCCTAACGATGCCTGCTGTATATTTGGAGTTTGCACGTCTCTCTCCCCCCATGGTCACGTGGATTTTTCTCCGGGTCCTCCGGTTTTTCCGTCCACATTTACAAACGTGCATTTAGAGTATTTGGATGCTAAATATTTGCACGTGATAAGCTACTTCGTTGGGTATCATTTGTGGCCAGGTCGCATCTGAAAATAGCTAAATAGCTCAATAGAAGCAGTCAAAATGCAAACAAAAAGAAACAACTCTGATAATAATAATGATATGCACTGTACTTGAAGTTGATTGGTCCACACCCGAGACAGCTTTTAATAGAGCCTAGTCTCCATTGGTGTTGGACCAGATGACGCCAAAAGGCGTACAACTCAAAAAACAGTGCACTATCAGAGTATTGAGAGCTCGGGGTAAGCATTTACACTATGAGACATCTCCTTTACCAGTGGCAAAATATAGTAGTAGGTTTTTACCCTTTCAACTGATACAAAAACTGACACCTTTATACAAGGCATCATGTTTGCAATAACCACAACACAAGCAGTCAAAATGCAAACAAAAAGAAACAACTCCGATAATGATAATGATATCATAGCTCAATAGACTTTAACCTGGTAAAATAAAAATTCAATATATCAGCCCTGTCCACTTTAAATATCCACGGCCTCACTCCGCTACTATCCCTGTTCACACAAAGTGAACAGACTCCCTCTCCTCGCTCCTTCCGTCGTTGGCGTCGCCTGCTGCTCGTAAGCATTGCGGGTTGAGAACGAGGTGAAAGCTAGGTGGAACCGGGACAAAATCTCAACCAACGCCCACCGGCGTGGTGAAGCCTACCAAATATTGTTGTTGAAGTGGTAAACTTAGCAATGACGGTACTGTGGTGAGCAGGCACGGATTGGGCCATAGGGCAGAAATCTGGGCAAACGCCAGTGGGCCGGTCCATTCCGAGGGCTGGTGGGCCGGCCTGTGTGTGTCAATGGAAAATGTGATCAGAGTAAGATTTTATTTTATTATAATTTATTACCTCTAATGTGAACACTTCATTGTTTATTTACGCTCTCAGTCAGCATTAAGTCCCCATATATTCGGCAGCTCCAAAGATTCTTCCCCACGGGGCCTCTTTGTGGTTTTTGAACCCAGCCCATATGGGCCAATGAGACCGGAACGGCAATTTGGCGCCCCGTGTGTTTACAAATTCCTGGGCAGATTTCTTTTGTCCCAGTCTGTCACTGGTGGTGGGTCACGAGGAATGGAGGTTCTGGAAACTCTGCTCACCCTTGCGCTCCCCGCTGCTTATCTGCATCTCTGGACAGGTGCGGCGCCATCTGGAGGCCGTTTTCGCCCGGCGCAAAAGCCCCAACAAGCTGCGGGTGTGGACCGAGGTTAAGGCCAAGCCCTGGGTGGCCAACGTCACCGACCCACTCTACACGGCTGGCCGCAGGGCTTTTCAAGCAGGTGGGTGCCACAGAGCTGGCAGTACCGGCTGCCACAGTACAAACTGCTGCCCTTTTGTCAGTCCACTGCTGGGTGAGGACTTCCCCCGCTATAAACTATTTTTAATTTCGATTTAAAGCTTTTGTGACTGCAGGGATTCATCTTCTTGGTTCTTTCGGTAAAGTCACAGTAAAAGGGAAATAATAAAATAATAAAAATAAACATCATAAAATATTTTATTATTTTACATGGTAAGGCCCACTGAGCTATATTAGCTCTTTTTCAGAAGCGACCTGGCCACAAATGATAGCTCAACAAAGTGGCTTATCACGTGGAAATGTATAGCAGGTAAATACTCTAACTGGATGTCGATTATAAATGTGGAGGGAAAGACCAGAGGAGGTCCCAGATAAAATTCCACACGACCACTGGGAAAAAACATGCAAACTCCTAAAATACAGGTGTCAGGATTTGGGTCGAACCCACGACCTCCTGTATACAAGGCAAGGGCGTTAACATCTCGCCACCGTAGCATCCACGCTGTCCGGTTCGTGGGTGTTAGTTGACCGTACATCACCGTGCCGGTCAGTGTGGGTGGGTGAAGGCAGGAGGCATAGGCATTGGGACATAGTACAGTAAAATCTTGGATTGCGAGTAACTTGGTCCGCGAGTGTTTTGCAAGACGAGCAAATTTTTTAAATAAATATTAATTTGATAAACGAGCGAGGTCTTGCAATACGAGTAGTACGCGTATACACTTTGTCTGCCGAGCGTCACGTGATCACAATTGATATACGAGTGCTTTGATATACGAGTGCGTTGGATTACAAACAAGTTTCCGGAACGAATTATGCTCGCAATCCAAGGTTCTACTGTGCATTACAATATGGACTGCACTGCACTGCCCTTTTCTGACAATTTATCTGTGCAACAGTCTACAGCACCTGTTTTACGCGTAGTCATTGCCCATCCAAGCACCGTCCAAACTCAATCATGCTGAACTTAGCTTCCGAGATCTGACGAGATCAGGCACTTTCTTGTGACTCGTCCATGAGAAGTAATACAGTACGAGTGGTCACTGCCCACATTTAGACTACATCTCAAAACGATAACGAATGACCGATAGGAATCGAACGGCCACTTCAGTGAGAACTGGCTTGTGCGGTTTAGTGCACAAAACTCCTTGTTGATTAATAAGAAAAAATTGTGTTGAATATTTTTTGTATTTGCTGTTCCGGAACGCAAGTGTACGGGCGTGAACCCGACCTTATTCGCGAGGGCGCCACCATCCCGATCGTGGCAGAGCTGGAGAGGGTGGTCGGCAAGGGAGTCGTGCTGCTGCCCATTCGGCGGCGCAGACGACGCCCCGCACTCGCAGAACGAGAAGGTCGACAGGTGAGCAGCGTGCGGCGCGACGCCGTCGATTTACTGACTCGCTTTCAGGACCGCCCGGCTTAAGTTTAAAGGGAACAAGATTTCTGGGAGGTTCAATCGGGACACGTGGTGACCTAACTAGCACCCACTCCCTCTTTCAGCCCCGCCTGCTTATACATAGCCACGCCCGTTCGGCCACTAGCTCCACCCACACAGGGAACAGCCTCTCTGATATTGGCCCCTGCCACTGCTCATAGGCCCTGCGCACTCTTCTACCAACCCCGCCTACTACTTAGTGGGAGAAGCGACACCGCCCACTGTTCAGGAAGTGGGAGGATCCACTCCGCCCACCACTCATAGTCAAAGGTGACAGAGACTTTTCCGTTGAAGCGCCAACGTTTTTGGAACAACGTTTTTTTCACCCTTAATGTCCTAAATCTTCCTTTTAAAAAAAAATCTAGTGCTGGATACAACTGCGTTTGCAAATGTGATTTGTAACTTTCATCCTTACCCATGGATTGATAGTTAATTTTTAATGTGCAATTTTATGGAGGGGACTGCGTGTTGTCTTGGTGTGGTCTGGGACTGCTCTTGCTGTTGTTTTTCTGCCTTGCCCAGCCTTGGGGATTGGTATACTTATGCAATTTGAACTTATACACTTCATCTATTTTCTGTATTTATTTTTGAGTGATTTGGTGACCTTCGCCTGTTCGTTGCACTCCTGTCATTGTTTGCTGTTGTAACCTTCCTACCTGCCCCTACTGGACATAGCTTATCGGATTTCTCCAGGATAAATAAATATTCTGATTCTGACTCAGATAGTCCCTCCCATTTCTCAGGGAGCTCCACCCTCCTTTGCCCATATTATGAGTTGGGCATAAGGCCGTCGGAAAAATACAGGGCCTCCTCTACTTACGAACATTCGACTTACGAATTTTCAGAGATACGAACAAACCTGTCCGTGTGTCCAGTTGCCTGTTCAGACTGAGAGTCGTAAGTTCAACCACCATTCAGTAGATGGCGGTGGTGGCATCTACATCTGCAGCACCTGAAGAAACAGTGGCATCTACATCTGCAGAACGTGAAGAACCAGTGGCATCTACATCTGCAGAACCTGAAGAACCAGTGGCATCTACATATGCAAAACCTGAAGAAACCAGTGGCATCTTACACTGCAGAACGTGAAGAACACCAGGTGGCCCTCTACATCTGCAGAACGTGAAGAACCAGTGGCATCTACATCTGCAGAACGTGAAGAACCAGTGGCATCTACATATGCAGAACCCGAAGAACCATGGGCATCTACATATAAAGGAGATTATACAACTTTTAAAGCCATTCCACGTGTTAAGTGTACACGCCGTACAACATGTTTTAAATTGACAGGAGTAAAGTTGGACTTACGAACAAATCGACTTACGAACAGACCTCTGGAACCTATTCATAATACACGTTTTTGGGTTAGATCGCGTTATTTATAAATGTGTCGTAACCCTCCACCACCCGACACGGCCAATCAGCACAGTGAGAAAAGACTAATAGTTCACTACTTTAGCCCACCAGTGTGTTGAAGAGTGAAACCACAACATTTACAATTTTTGAGTACGACGTTTCGCTGGTAATTACATCCAGCATCATCGGGCGAATTGCCCTGATTGGCCGTGTCGGGTGGTGGAAGGTTACGACACATTTATAAATAACGCGATCTAACCCAAAAACGTTTATTATGAATAATATTGGTCGCGACAGCCCTACGTGTTAAACTCTGGAACCTAACTCATTCGTCAGTAGAGGACTCCCTGTATTCCACTTTTCGCAAATGTTTACAGGATACACTCGGACAACTTTTTCTGAAACCACCATGGAACTGTTCCGACCAAATCAGGACGTCCTTTAAGGCCAAGTGACTGACTGGGCAGAGTGATTGAGTGAGTGCTCGCGGCATGCATGGCTAGCCAGCTTGATGTAGTGCACCAGCTTTGTTGTTTGTCTCAATGCAGGATAAACTTCATCAATGGGATCAAAGTGTTTGCCGCTTTCCTGCATGAGGTGGGACAGCTTCCGCGGGAGCCAGCTGCAAAGGATGTTGGGAATTCGGATGTGCCGCCCGCTCAGTAATTGCACAGGGCAATGAACTACGAAATCTAAAGACGAGATCACACGAGCGTTCTCAAGGATAGGGAGGATAATTTGCAATTTTTAGCAGGTGATTTTTGCTGTCGTATCTATTTCACAAGAACAATTGGGTAACGCTTCCAAATGCCGTGTGGAAGCTGGAAATTGAACCACTTGATTTTGGTAAGAATGATCAGTATGTATGTATGTTAAACTTATTTCACACCGTACGTGGGCGGTAAAGTAGCTTTGGCGTTAATTCCAAAATATATTGGCACATTTTGTTAAAAAAATACTATCAATTAAGTCAACTCTCGAATATCCTGGGTAATGCTGGAGACGGTTGACCCAGATAAAACAAAAGGGTACATGATAAAATTAATAAAAGTGTATTTGGCTTTTTATGCGTGTGCATCGATTTCGCACGTGGAATGGGAGCGAAGACTTAGAACGAGGATATGATTTTGTACGGTGGTGCAGAGAGCACTTTCCGTACGACAAACATGTTCTTGAATTGTTAAAATCACACTAATCTTTCCTCGCGGAATTCCTGAGGCAGGGCCGGGTTTAGGCCTTAGCTAAGTAAGCCACGGCTTAGGGCCTCATGTTACGTGGGGCCTCCAAATACGGACAACACCAAAAACTAAAAATAATTCAAAGTTTCAAGTTTTATATAATTGGTTGAAAAATAAAGGAGTTATATTTATTCCAATATGATTTTTCTTTTAGAGCCATTCCTTGATGGGATTATTTTAAGCTTGCAGCGGTTTAGAGCCCCAGCAATGCGACAATCCGGCCCGGGTCTGAGGTCACGTGGGCCCCGAGCCACTGACCCTCAACGAGTTATGAGCAGCTCATGATCGCACCTGGCATCCTGCATGAATACATTGTATTAGTGTTTTATAAGCACGGTTAATCAGAAACCCGGGTAACATGCCCACGGACAATCGAGAGATGACTATGTTTTATTGCCAACGTAATTTCGGCCCGTTACGTTATGACCATGGTGTGAAGACTTTATTGCTGACGTCGGTAAAGTGATGGGCCGTCGGTGAGAAAATGAGTGCCCCTCGATTTTAGTTTACAACCATGCTATTCATTTCGACGAAATTCTGTACAATTACACAACTAATTGCACGCTGCGTGTGCTGCGATGAACCTACCAAAGCTTGGATTACCTTCAAATGAGAAACGTGCGAGAGTACAGCCTCCTGTGTCAGACCACTGCTGGATGAGGGCCTCTCTACATCCTGGGGGGCCATGGGTGTTGTTTGATTCTACTTGACCCCTAACACCGGTCAATGTGGGTTAGTGAAGTGAGGAAAGCCCAGCACTTGTTCAGATACTACTCACCGCTGATATTAGCCATGGCCGGGAATGTAATTTGGGCCATCGGGCTTGTAATTCAGTGCGCGATTCACTTTACCACTACTCCCTTCGAGATAATATAATCTATTGCACTATTCAAAATAGAAAATTCAGATGCATAGAGGTTGGAAATCGCATAGAAGATTGCCATTGAAAGATCTGTCTCGTGCAGCAACGCGGGTTCCCACCAAGCACACTGCCGTTCGAACGCTGGGTATATACCTGTCAACCCGTACGGTTTACCCTGTATTCTTGTACAGGGAAAGTGAGTTGTCAGGTCCATACGGCGTACAGACGTTTCAATATGGGCAAAACTTTTTTTGCCTATTTGTTCGTTTCTCGCTTGTGATGGGACTTTTGATGATGAACGTTGAGTTTTATAAGGGGCACGGGGTGACCCAACAAGGTTTGAATTGGTCTGTAATAAGGAGGGCGCTGATAAGGGGTTGACAGGTTTGTGAGTAGCGCTCGTGTGAGTCAGCAGGCGGCAGTGGTAATTCTTTGAGCGAAAGGAGGCTTGCATTTGGTCTCAAGAGGGCGCGTGCTTCTGTGCAATCGAATCATTTTCTCCGCCTGTACGTCATGCAGAGAGGGAATGGCTTTTGCGACGACATGAGAGATTGGTGCGAGAATGATGTGCCCACTACTTGAGCATATTGGCACAAGAGAGAGGAAAGTGGAAACAAATTGTACGGTAGACACCTACACGCCAGTTTAACACGTAGGAGGCTTTCGCGACTAATATCATCCATGATAGAGGTTTTTGGGTTAGATCGCGTAAATATATAAATGTGTCGTTAGTTGTAATTACTGGCGAAATGTCGTACTCAGATTGTAAATGTTGTGGCTTGGCTCTCCAACACACCGGTGTGCTGTACTAGTGACGAATTGGCACGTTCTGTTTACGTGACAACCCTTACTAGTTGGCTGTGTCGGGTGGTGGCGGGTTTTAACGACACATTTATCTAATCCCAAAACCTCTATTATGAACCTACAGGCTATCTGCCCATGGATCGTGACGATGATGATGATGTGCGTCATACCGTATATGCCGTGACGGTGCTGTTTGGTTGGGACTCACTGAAGCAAGCGATGGATCGAGTCGAGCCATGTTAATTTGTATGTGCTGTGGACATTAAAGCCATTAGAAAATAAACTACGAGCAAATGCATACGGCTGTATTTCTTTATCTTTATTGCTGCGTAAAGCATTTTAACTTCCATGAGCTATTGCAGATCATATTGCCTGAAAGCGCAACAAATCCAGCTCGATTAATTCAAGTGAAATATGAAAAGACTGAATCTTGATTTGAAGCTTTCGTGGCTGAAGAAATCCATACAATTTGGTTCTTTCGGCAAAGGCACGTAGATAGAAAAAATAATCAAAGAACACGACGTTTCGGTCGCAACACAACGTCACCTGATGACGGACGCTTGTGTTGCGACCGATATGTCGTGTTCTTTTATTATGTTTTCTATCCACGTGACTTTACCGACAGAACCAGAGAGGATGAAAAGACTGCATTGGTTGTCCCTTGATAATTCCAATATGTACGTATTGGTGCCGTAACATCACACGCCGTGGGGGTTAATTATGCATCACGTCCCTGCTATGACATTAACCTGCATCTGGCGGTCGTGTCACCTACAAACAACGCCGTTGAGGGAGTCAAGGGGAAGCCAGCTTGCCCATTCCTTCACTCCCCGTGGCTCACGAAGGCTCAAGTGCGGTGCGTGTCGCAGCGAGGTGATGGTGAGCTGGGATGGAAGGAGCTTCAACCATGGAGCCTGCCCATGGGTAGAGAACTCAAGAGACAGGGAGAGAGGCTGATTATATTTCAATAACATTTGATTACTCCATTCGCACAATGTCAAATTGATCGATTTGGCCGTTCGTGGTTTCAATGGTGATAACCAGTGAAGATTTGCCCCATGCATAGAGATCCACAGACTAACACAGAGACCCATGGTGCGAGGCTAGCTAGATTCACTAAGACTCACGTAGAGACCCCGTAGACTCGCACAAAGACCTACAGACTGACATAGACACCCATATAGAATCTCACAAAGACCCACAGGATCCCATAGACACCCATAGACTAACACAGAGACCCATGGTGTGAGGCTAGCTCTATTCTTTAAAGCTCACATAGAGAACCCCATAGACTCGCACAAAGACCCACATAGAGACCCGTATAGACTCATACTCGTATAACCCACACGGTAACCCATGGGTGCGATGATTCTGGGAGAAAGCCTCTTCTGCGGATATCACAGCTCACTGCGGGATTGTGTTTTGCAAGGCTTCGGGTGATGCCACTCCCTCCAGATTGGGTGTCTCTCCAAGCTCATCCCATTGATTTGCCCCATTCACTGTGTTAAGTTGTTGTACGGCAATGAGCTCAGAGCCATTCCCACGAGTCATAGGACTGCGGTCACCAGCCAGCAGAGGGCCCCAGTGCTTAAGCTTCGCTGTGATCATGAGGATATTTTAATATATTCTTGAAGTCTAAATAGAAATTTGCATTTGTCCCCACCTATCCCGCCATCCCTTCCATTGATCCCCCCCCCCCGCCTGTCTACCCCCCCCCACTCCCCCCCGTCTACCCCCCCCCACTCCCCCCCGTCTACCCCCCCACTCCCCCCCGTCTACCCCCCACTCCCCCCCGTCTACCCCCCCCCACTCTCCCCCCCGTCTACCCCCCACTCCCCCCGTCTACCCCCACCCCCCTCGTCTACCCACCCACCCCACCCCACTCCCTCCCATCCCACCCCCCCCGTGCCCCCACACCGACCCACAAAAACCCCAAATCGTGACGCTTTAACAGCCGAGCGCCGCTGTGCCCCCCTCCCCCCCGCCCCAACACAACGCAGGGTGAACTACATCAACGGCATCAAGCTGTTCGCCGCCTTCCTGCACGAGGTGGCCCAGCTGCCCCCCGCTGCTGCCGCCGCCGTTGCCGGAGCCGGCGCCGCGGGTTCCAACTCGCTGGGGGGTGCCCGGAGCTCGGAGCCCAACGGGGGCACTGCCAGGTCCACCACCTCCGCCGAAGCGGCCGTGATGTGCTGCGTGCTGCTGCTGGGGATGCAGGTGGCGCGGAGGGCTGGAGAGTGAAGCCCCCACCCATTCACCATCACCACCCACCCACCATCACCCACCATCACCACCCACCCACCCACCCACACCACCATCACCACCCACCCACACCACCATCACCACCCCCCACCCCATCACCACCCACACCACCCACCCACCACCCACCCCCACCACCATCACCACCCACCCACACCACCATCACCACCCACCCACACCACCATCACCACCACCCACACCACCATCACCACCACCCACACCACCATCACCACCCTCCCACCCACCATCACCACCCTCCCACCCACCATCACCACCCTCCCACCCACCATCACCACCCACCCACACCACCATCACCACCCACCCACACCACCATCACCACCCACCCACACCACCATCACCACCCACCCACACCACCATCACCACCCTGCGAATTCTCCACCGTCGGTTTTTTTTGTACCTCTCCGCGCCGTCGCTTTTGATTTTTTTCAACACCGAGGACTTTTTTGGAGTTTTTTTTGCCTTCGCCGATGGACGCCAGCCGATTCGCGCCCAGCGTGAGAAGTTGGATGATGATCGCCGCCGTCGTTTTATTATTATTATTGTTGATGTTGTTCCGCTTATTTTTTTTATGCTTTGTACATTGGAAGATGCCACGGTGTAACTATTAGTACGTTGAACTTGCAATTTAGAGGTCACCGGTGTCTCAAGTCTCTCTCCACCCCCGCCACCCACCTCTGTCTCCACCCAGCAGCATCAATTGGTTCACCACATTCACTAAAGCCATCAGCAGCTCGCGCGCGGTGAAGTAAAGTGTGGGTACCCCCCCCCCCCCACCTCTTCGAAAACATGTGGCGAGTGTGTACGAGTGAGTCAAAATACCCTCTCGAATGCCTCTCTTTGAGGAGTCCCTTCCACTGGCAGTGAGTGTGGGCAAGAAATTGCAGGGCTGCGCCTTATCGTACACCGCACTGGACGCTTCTGTCCTTGGTTGTGCGCTAGTTGTGGGGAAGTTGCCATCGGTCCACAGCCTTTTTAAATCCTTTATATTAAGTTCACTTGCGTGTTTGCGCGCTTACGACCGTGCAAATCTTTCGGTCGTTTTTTAACCCACTTCCCGTGATCCAATCGAGTTGACATTTTGCACACAGACTCGTTGTGCGAGACAATTAATGTTCGTGAAAATTTTTTTTCCAAAATTTTACACTGTTTAGGGAAAACAAATTAAATATTTAATTACCAATTGTTTAATACTGCAGACAATCATCTGACCCATAGGTGGCAGCCATCTCAAGCCAGAGGATGAGAGGACTCTAGCCGCCAGGCATATAAAGGATTTATAGTGAAAAACTTTGTTTTTACTGGTTATACTTATAAATCCTTTATATTAAGTTCGCTTGCTTGCTTTCGTGCGTGCTTGCTTACGACCGTGCAAACCTTTCGGTCGTTTTTTAACCCACTTCCCGTGATCCAATGGAGCTGACATTTTGCACACAGACTCGTTGTGCGAGACAATTAATGTTCGTGAAAAAAAATTCAAAATTTTTACACTGTTTAGGGAAAACAAATTAAATATTTAATTACCAATTGTTTAATACTGCAGACGGTCATCTGACCCATAGGTGGCAGCCATCTCAAGCCAGAGGACGAGAGGACTCTAGCCGCCAGGCATATAAAGGATTTATAGTGAAAAACTTTGTTTTTACTGGTTATACTTGTTACACTTTTTTTTATTCCGTTGTGTCAGATGTTGAAGGCAACTTCGGTTAGTTGAGTCTCAGAAGCCTCACTCGTGTTCTCAGCATCACCAGCAGCCATCCAGGAGTTGACAACAAATATTACCACCGCTTCAGGTCAACAGCGGTTGTCCTATGCGGAGAATGGATCCCTGCCACAGGAACGTGGAATTTCAACCAATGGCTCAGGAACCTCGTCATCGGATCAGCATCCACTCAACGCTCATTTGAGCAGGTGGCATTTCACTTTTGGCGATGGTCGTGGGGTGATGCATCGATTCAGTTTGTTGTCCTTCCCCCGCAACTCCGATTAGCACGGTTGGCTACGTTCAGTGCGAAAGAAGTTCAACTTGAATACACACTGCCCATAGACTAACACTAACTGTAGACTAACACTACCCATAGACTCAACACTGCCCATAGACTAACACTAGCCATAGACTCAACACTGCCCATAGACTAACACTAACTGTAGACTCAACACTGCCCATAGACTAACACTAACTGTAGACTAACACTACCCATAGACTCAACACTGCCCATAGACTAACACTAGCCATAGACTCAACACTGTCCATAGACTAATACTAACCATAGACTCAACACTGCCCATAGACTAACACTGACCATAGACTCAACACTGCCCATAGACTAACACTACCCATAGACTAACACTGACTATAGACTCAACATTGCCCATAGACTAACACTAGCCATAGACTAACACTAACTATAGACTCAACACTGCCCATAGACTAACACTGACCATAGACTAACACTAACTATAGACTCAACATTGCCCATAGACTAACACTAGCCATAGACTCAACACTGCCCATAGACTAACACTAACTATAGACTCAACACTGCCCATAGATTAACACTAGCCATAGACTCAACACTGCCCATAGACTCAACACTGCCCATAGACTAACACTACCCATAGACTCAACGCTACCCAGACTCAACACTGCACCTCTGATTATCACGGTTGGCTACGTACGGTGTGAAAGAAGTTCAACATACCGTACATACATAATATCGATCTTCCAAGCCTCAGATGCGTGCATCGATTCGCATGCATCTGCCTGCAGGCTCCTTTAGACGCCTAAAACTCGCCACGGGTTTTCATCGATTCTCTGAATCAAACCGTGACCTCAAATTGTGGCCATTCACCGATTTTGCTACGACGCTGGTTTGGTTGGTGGTGGTGGCGGTGATGAGGCGTTGTGGGCCTAGTCGATAAGATTCTGCTGTATTTATTGCACGTTGCCGGAAGGCATCATCCATTCTATCTCTAAAGTAGTCGTGTTTTCGTTCGTTCTTCCCCCTGCACCTCCGATTAGCACGGTTGGATACGTACGGTGCTAAAGGAGTTCAGCATATATACATTATATTTTGCATATACATATGTACACCAGTGTTATTAATATGAATATGCTTAAGTGAAAGCATAATAAAAGCATCTTGTTTGCATCGGTCCTTTTACGTGTATTTATTTTAATAGGATGAGCGGCATCGCTTTTCCTTCACGAAATCCCCATCAGCCATGATCACTCCACTGCTGGATGAAGGCATCCCCCAAGCGGGCACCCCCCCCCCCCCCCCCCATGATGAAACCACACCAAGGATCTGCACGTGACCCGATTCCTCGTTCCGTCTCCACAGTAGACTCCACTCAGATGCGTTGCATTCTTTGGCTGCCACTCAGTTATTATTATTATCCCATGACCATTGGTCATCATCCCTTCCAGCGCTGTCCCCCGCTTCACCCATAGCTCTCAGGAAGAAAAAAAGCCAATCCAATGCTATTGAGGGGGCGTCGTGGAAAAATGCCATTGTCCAGAAAGTAGGCTTTTCAGCTGAGAGTGGGCAGATTAAATGGTTTAAAAAGCTGAGTTATTAAGTTCATTGTGCAGCCATCCTTGGGGACATGATACGAAAAGAACTCTTCACGATCAAAAGTGAATTGTGGAGAGTTTGTTCCAGTGAAGCTGTGATGTATTAGTTTGAGAAATACAATGCAGGTATTCTTAGGTTTTTTTCGGTAAAGTAACGTAGGTAAAACATTAAAAAAGTAAAATAAAATAAAAATCACGACGTTTCGGAGGCAACACAAGCTTCCGTCTTCAGGTGGAACCGTCACAGCCACGACAGCTGTATCAAGTAAACGTGATTTTTATTTTATTTTACTTTTTTAATGTTTTACCTACGTGACTTTACCGAAAAAAACTAAGAATATGAATCCTTGCAGTCACGAAAGCTTCAAATCTAGAAATAATGCAGGTAGCTGTAACGCCTCAGAGGTCAGAGGTCAGAGCGCTGAGCTGACACTGCTGAGGTCCTGGGTTCGAACCTAGGGTTCTCTAAGCGTCGTGAGTTGGTGGTACCAGCCTAGTAAACAATGAATGCACACGCACAAAACCCCTATCACATGATAATTTGATTCCGCAGAAAATATGGCGAAATGACACACACTGCGAATAAAAAGACTAAAAATTATTTTATTGAGACGTGCTGCTTCTTACTGCGAGTACGGAGGTTCTAAATGCGAGGTCATCACCCAGCAAACCAAAGTAGTCGGGACCAGTTACGATCATTTGTGGGCACGGGGCTTTCGCACAGTCTCAGATGCAGCTCCGTTATATCCACTTCCGCGGACCGTTCTCTAACGCCACTCGTTTGCGAGATACCCCAATGGAGTATTCGGCCTCGCGACGCGACAACGATTTATCGACAGCACGGTAGGAACGCAATCGGTGGGAACGGTAACGTAATTAAATATCAATGCGGCGTTGTTTTTTGTTCTCGTTTTTTTGGATGCCCTCAATTTCATTTGCGTTGTCACCAAAGATCGTCGTCGGCAGTGCCTCGGGTTTCGAGGAGGACGTCTGTCAGGTTTGGTGGTGGCTCGTGAGGTGGTCCCAATTCTGGATCCGCAGATCTTTGGGCACTGGGTTGCACGCTTGTCCCAGATGGAAGCGGAATCCGCGGTGCCGGGTTGGCTTCCTGCACCACAAGGACGGCACGCATTAATAACGTCCGTCAATTTATAGTAGTAGGTTTTTACCCTTTCAACTGGTACAAAACTGACACCTTTATAACAAGGGATCATGCTTGCAATAACCACAACACAAGCAGTCAAAATGCAAACAAAAAGAAAACAACTCTGATAATGATAATGATATGTACGCCTTTGGGCGTCATCTGGTCCAACACCAAAGGAGACTAGGCTCTAAGAAAAGCTGTCTCGGGTGTGGACCAATCAACTTCAAGGACAGTGCATATCATTACCATCATCAGAGTTTTCTATTTGTTTGCATTTTGACTGCTTGTGTT